GTCCTTTTATCCCTTGGGAGATAAAATGTGGTGCAGGCCACACCCCAGGGAAACTCCTTTTACATTGCATCAGGGATGTCACCTGGGTAAGGGTGTTACATCCCACCCTAATCCTCTCTAAAATAATCTAATCTTGCCTCATTAACCACAGGCAGAGATTAGGATTTATAACACATAGGAAAATTACATCAAGCACAAAATGGAGGACAACCACACAATACCGGGAATCATGGCCTAACCAAGTTGATAACATATTTTTTGGGACAGGATTCAATTCATGACAGCTGTCATTTGTGAACCTGGAGTGTACTCATCTTGTAAACATTGATTCCAGATTTCAACTCTATCTCCAGTAGGTTCTAGCGTATCACTACTTCTGATTTTTCTTGTACTTCATTGCTAAAACTGAAGACTGCTGAAAGCTATGACATTTATAATTTTGTTGAAGAGAGGACTGCCATCTTGTTTGCAGTATAAATATGAAACATTTTTATTTTTAGATTTAGAATGATTAATTCAATGAATTTTTTTATTTCTACATTGTCTGTTTTCTTTGTATACACATCTGTCTGCCTTCAACATTTGTCTACTCTATCAAGTAAAACTTACATATACCTTGTGAATAATGAAAGACTGTCACTTATCATTTTCACAAAATGAGACGGTCTGGGTTCTTGTTGCAAAATATTGCATGATGAATCCCTTGCCTATAGAAATATATTGTTCACTCATAAATTATGAGTTTAATAAAATTCACCCAAGTTATTTTCATCTGAAGACTTATAGTCGGAGATTTCTCTTACACAGTCAGTTACACCATCAAAATTAGAGTCTAGAGTACTGCTTTCTGTCTTTTTTCTGCTTAATAATTGGGAAACACCTTCTTTTGTCAATTTTCTGCTCTTTGCCATTTTAGGTAGAAAATGAAAAATTCTGATTTCTCAACTGTGTTAAATGAAAGCCAAATCAACCAATCGACCAACAAACAAAAATCATGAGATGGTGTCTCCAGAGTTCTTTCTTTCGTATTTTCTTGAAAGATGATGTAATACTTTGGGCAACACAATAAGAAACCTGAAGGATGATGCAATAGCATTATTATTTTTCTCACTATTGTATCATCTTCCTAGGTGATTTCATCATTCTTCTGTTTTCTTATTAGTCATTTTTTTTTAGCGTTTTATTTAGGAGCAATCAATGAGTAATAATGAAATAATTCCTAGGATGATTAAATAGCAAAATGAATCAAGAACTGGAAAAATAAGAAAATCTTAATTGCAGAATGTGGACCATATGGTAATTTCCAGATAGAATGAGTTTTACTCCATTAAAAACAAAATAAATTTTAGTTTTGTTCTTGGAACTATCTCTAATAAAGAATAAAAGTTGTGAATATCAATCCTTACAAATAGTTAGAACTGCTTAAAAATGAAATTCAATAACTAAAATTGGGTCCAGTGAACCCTCATGGTATGCTAAGGGTTGAGAAATTCTGGGACAACCTACAAACTCTGTTGAGAAGGCAATTTAGTGTTTTAGACAATGAAGAACTTTTCCTTTACTTGGACCTGGAATCCCTTCATATAGAGTTTTGAATATAACTCCATCTAGGCGCATAAGGGAGTCCCTGGTTCATGCAAACGGTTAAACACTCAACTGCTAACCAGAAGTCTCTTCAGAAGAAAGGCCTGGCAGTCTGCTTCCTAAAGGTCACAGCCTTGAAATCCTATAGAGTGCAGTTCTACTGTGCAACACATGGAGTCACTATGAGTTGGAGTCGACTCCATGGCAACTGGTATGGTTTTTTCGGTTAGGCATATGAAGGAAATCTGGCAGGAAAGTGATGTTTAAGTTCAAATGTAAAGGCAGACCAGTACTTAGTCAAGGGAAACATTATCATAAAAATCCAGTCAAAATCCATAAAAATCAAGTCAAACCTTAGCCTTAGTTTATCAAGTTATCAAGTTTGGGCTGCATTGTTTGAAGGGATTGGTATAATAATATAATAAGAGATTTTTCCTTTACAAAATATTTGAACTGTTTGTTAATATCAAGTCATAGTATGATTTTGGAATATTTGAGAGCTATAAACTTGACCTTATTGATGGAACTTTAACAAAGTCTTTTTATCGGAAATTGATATAGTTGTATGCATATGCTGTCTATAAGACATCATACACATTATATATGAAATACTTAATTGGATCGACTCTGGCTGTCCAATAATCAAATTTATTAAAAATAGACAGTATGTAGTGACTTAATTATTTTGTTTTCCAGAAAGGAACTCAACTTGCTGCAGAAGCTGTATGGACTGTATGATACCGTAATGAGCAATATTAGTGGTTATTATGAAATGCTTTGGGGAGATGTAGATATTGAAAAAATTAATGCAGAACTTCAGGAATTCCAAAACAGGTGAGTTTCAATCAAATTAAGCCTACTTTTATATCATCTCTATCTTCTGAGGATACTATAGGTGTTTCATAAACAGATACGTTGCTGTATATACATAAACCTTTCTTCAAAGAAATGTATAGGTGAAATAATTTTATTTTTCTTTTTTTCTGAAAGATGTCGTAAACTTCCAAAAGGACTTAAAGATTGGCAAGCTTTTTTGGATCTCAAAAAAAGAATCGATGATTTCAGTGAGTCGTGTCCTCTGCTAGAAATGATGACCAATAAGGCGATGAAACAGAGACACTGGGATCGAATCTCTGAGTTAACTGGAACCCCATTTGATGTGGAATCTGATTCTTTTTGTCTTAGAAATATTATGGAAGCACCACTCCTTAAAAATAAGGATGATATTGAGGTACATAACAGTATAAGGTCTTATTAACTCTTTTGTTACTATTGGCATGAATGGCTTGCTAGCCACTTTTCATGCCTCTGGATCTCAGAGGTAAGGTGTTATTCAAGTTCTAATACATTTAGCTTCGAGGTGGGTCCCTTTTGAAATGCGTGAAGCTATGCTGACCAGAATTGGAGCCTCATTGTTGTGTAGGTTGAGCATCCTATTAGGTGATGCTTCCTGGATGTGTTAGTTTTATAAACTTATGCCTTTTTTTCCCCTTTATTTCTGTGAGATAAGCCTTGCAAGCATAATTATGGCTTTCCTGTGTGAAAGTTAGGGAGCCCTGATGGTTTTGCTTTGGTTTTTCTGTATCAGATTTGGAAAACCAGAGGTTCCACATATAACCTAATGGAAAGATGCCCACAATAAATTACTTATCTAGCTCTCATTGGTATATTGTCATACCACAGATTGGTGGCACCACAATGCCACTCACATCATTGGTGGCTTGTATTACCAGATCATATATCTCAAAATCCATAACTCTTACCAGAATTTCAAATTGGTCTTTGAATCAGCATGCCTTCCATTAGTAAAAACACATGGCATCAAAAATTAAAAAAAAAAATAAAATAAATAAAAATCTCCTTTTTCTGAAAATTGTACAGATATTTTATTAGAGGGTGTGCTATTTGTGCTACATAGCGCACCCTCAAAATTAGGAATGATCACTGAAAATCCTGGCATTTACAAAATAATCCTGTAACTCAGGGAGATAATATGATCATTCTAAATATATTAGTTTTGGAGCCCCTCAATCTATTCTCTTTGTGCCTTAAACTGCACTTCTAATTTAAAAAAAAAAAAAAAAATCTATTCATTTCTGTCTGTGTTGTGTTCTTGATGAGTTCCTCAGAACTATTTTCCAAATTTCTGATTTTACACTTTTTCCTATCAAGTGTATTAAATTTTTTATTATTACATTTTCCAGGGTTTTTAATTTTTTGTGTGTGTCTATCTGTTCTTTTTTCATTTCTACCTTTGTTTTCATTTTTTTTTTTCATGGGCCTTTTTACAGATATGGTTTCTTCATTTATCTCATTGAGCACTCTAAACATAATTACTTTAAATTTTTATTATGGAAAATTTCAAACATATGTAAAAGTAGAGATCCCTTTGCTTCAACAATTATCAACTCATGGCCAATATTATTTTATCTCTACTTCCTCATACCCCAATACTCCCAGATGGAACATAGTTGAAGATTTTTTTTAGATTGTTCTATAAAATTAATTTCATCTGGACAGAGTTTGGTTTTTATGTTGGCTGTTCCTCTGAGCATTCAATTTTGTCATGGGTTTGAGACTTTTTATTTTGGAGAAGATCATTTTGAATGGCAAGTTAAAAAAAATTGGCTTATATAATTTGTTAAAATTATTTCTCTCTCTCCTTCTGTGTTTTAGCCTTCTTGTTCAGTGGTTTTGTGGTTTCCTCCACAACTCTCCATGTCCCCTGGCTCCAAGTCCAGAACTAGGTATTATAAAGCAGTTTACACCCACATTTTTTTTTTCCTTGTTCTGGTTGTTCTGCTTCCATTAATTCAGTTTCCCTACCCACCCACCGCCCCTTCTCATCTATGCTTTAGGGTAAATGTTGACCAACTAGTCTCATATAGATGATTTTTTTTTTAAAATTTGCACTTCAGATGAAGGTTTACCAAACAAACTAGCTTCTCATTAAACAATTAGTACACATATTGTTTTATGACATTGGTTACCAACTCTATGACGTGTCAACACCTGACCTTGGGTTCCCTATTACCAGCTTTCCTATCCCCTCCTACTGTGTAGTCCTTGCCCCTGGGCCGTTGTGCCCCTTTAGTCTCGTTTTGTTTTATGGGCCTGTCTAATCTTTGGCTGAATGGTGAACCTCAGGAGTGACTTCATTACTGTGGGCCATGCTCTCAGGGTTTCTCCAGTCTCTGTCAGGCCAGTAAGTCGAGTCTTTTTTTGTGAGTTAGAATTTTGTTCTACATTTTTTCTCCAGCTTTCTCCGGGAACTTATTATGTGGTGGTAGCCGGGCACTATCTAGTTGTGCTGGACTCAGTGTGGTGGAGGCTGTGGTAGTTGTGGTCCGTTAGTCCTTTGGACTAATCTTTCCCTTGTGTTTTTGGTTTTCTTCATTCTCCCTTGCTCCAGGTGTGTACACCCACTATTCTTAAGCCCTGGTGGCACAGTGGTTAAGAGCTCACCAGCTAACCAAAAGGTTGGCAGTTTGAATCACCAGCCACTCCTTGGAAACCCTATGGGGCAATTCTACTCTGTCCTGTAGGGTTGCTATGAGTCAGAATTGACTCAACGGCAACAGTTTTTTTTCTTTCTTTTTTTTGTTATTCTGCTATGGGGTGGCAGGTCCAGACATGAGGTGACTTGGTGCAGTCCTGGCTGTGGGGTGTGTCTGTGTCACCCCATCCAGCTAGTCCACAGCTTCATTTAATCTAAATGGCCAAATAGCAGCAGCTGGAGGCAGTGCTTCCAGCCTCCTTCCACAAGGGGCAGGTTCCAGCCCCCAGCTCTGATGCTTCCTCTCATATAGACCACTTTCAAGAACCTAAGACCTGCCTACCACTGACCAGAGCTTCACCTCCACCCATAGTTTTGCATATGTTTTCCACTTCTGGTTCATGGAGATTGTCTTAGATATCTAGTGCTGCTGTAACAGAAATACCACAAATGGGTGGCTTTAACACACGGAAATTTATTTTCTCACAGTTTAGGAGGCTAGAAGTTTGAATCCAGGGTACTGGCTCTAGGGGAAGGCTTTGTCTCTCGGCTCTGGAGGAAGGAAGGTCCTTGTCTTTTTGAGCTTCCGCTTCTGGGCGACCTTCATGTGAAGTGGCATCTCTGCCCCCCACCCCCCCATCTGTACTTCTTTGAATTGCTTGTATAATCTCTTTTATATCTCAAAAGAGATTGACTTAAGATACACCCTACACTAGTCCTGTCTCATTAATATAGCAAAGAACCCATTACCAAATGGGATTGTAACCACAGATATAGGGGTCAGGATTTGCAGCACATATTTTTGAGGGACACAGTTCAATCCATAACAGAGATATTTATCTTATTTTTAAACCTGGCTGTATTGGAGCCCTGGTGGCAGTGGTTAAGTGCTCAGCTGCTCACTGAAATGTTGTTGGTTCAAACCCACCAGCCACTCTGTGGGAGAAAGACGTGACAGTCTGCTGCTTAAAGACTTACAGCCTTGGAAACCCTATGCAGCAGTTCTAACCTGTCCTGTAGGGTGGCTATGAGTTGGAATCAACTTAATGGCAATGCGTTATGGGTTATATTGGTCTTTTACTTTCTACATTTGTATTTCATACATTATTCTGTTTTTTGGAAGAGAGGACATGTACCACTGTATATACGGATTTGGGTTTTCTGCCTTCCTAATTTGGTGATTGTGTGGTTTCCTTTTCCACCCCCTACCTTCCCTCCTCGATTTTTAACAACATGTGTATACCAAAAGTTTTGCTTTCAAAGCATTTGTGGCGCTAATGGTTTATGCTTGGCTACTAACATAAAGTTGGCACTTCAAACCCACCGAGTGGTAGCATGGAAGAAAGGCTTGGCGATCTGCTTCCATTAAGATTACAGCCAAGAAAACTGTATGGAGCAGTTCTACTCTGTAATACATGGGTCTTCATGAGTTGGAAACAACTTGATAGCAACGAGTTTGGTTTTGGTGTTTCGGTATACCAAAAGTTTACTTTCAAAGCGTTTTTGTCCTGTTTGTAAATGTCGCTAGAATACTATTGAAAGAAATAATTAAAGGTTAAAAGATCTTTGAGGACAATCTCAGTTTTATAAGCAGACGTTTTACACTTAAGAACATAGCCATCCATAGTCTTGCTTTGAAGTCTTCATAACAATTCCAAGGAATACTAGGTTTCAGTTATTAACTACTAGTACTCCAAAACAAATTCCCAGTATTGTCCACCCCAGGTATATCCTATTGCTCTGCCCCACAGGGCTTACCATTAACCAAGTTGGATTTCTATTGTTATTGAATTCACTGCCTCTAAAGGAAGCCTTTTCCCACCCTAAAGAATGTTCCTTCCCTCCCCAGTGACTCCTTGTTGGAATCCCCAAAAACCAAACCAAACTCATTGCTTTCTAGTCTATCCTGACTCATGTTGACCCCAAGTGTTACATAATAAAATTGCTCCATAGGGTTTTCTTGGCTGTAATCTTTACAGAAGCAGATATCAGACTTTACTTCCACAGTGCCTCTGGGTGGGTTTGAACCAGCAACCTTTAGGAGTGGAGCGGAAATTGTTTGTCCCACCCAGGGGGAATCCCACTTCCTGTCAAATGCTACCTCCTCAGTGCCTCCTCAGGACTCATAACAGTTCATACCACTCTTACGACATTTATGACACACTTATTTGTATTATAATTATTGTGGACATATCTTGCACCTTTAAATTTCTTTCCATATCTATGACTCTGTGATTCTAAGTGTGAAAATAAGTTGAGGCATGATAGGGAAAATACTGCACTTTTATATTCATTTCCTTGTGTCATGGATTGAATTGTGTCCCCCAAAATTATGTGCATCAATTTGGCTAGGCCATGATTCCTAATATTGTGTGATTGCCCACCATTTTGTCATCTGATGTGTTGTAAATCCTACCTCTATGATGTTAATGAGGTGGGATAGGTGGCAGTTATGTTAATGAGGCAGGACTCAATATACAAGATTGGATTGTGTCTTGAGCCAATCTCTTTTGAGATATAAAAGAGAGAAGCGAGCAAAGAAACCGGGGGAACTTATGCCACCAAGAAAGCAGTGCCGAGAGCAGAGAGCGTTTTTTGGACCTGGGGTTACTGGGCGGAGAAGCGCCTAGTCCAGGGAAGATTGATGGCAAGGACCTTCCTCCAGAGCTGACAGAGAGAGAAAGCTTTCCCCTGGAGCTGACACCCTGAATTTGGACTTCTAGCTTACCAGACTGTGAGAATAAATTTCTCTTTGTTAAAGCCATCCACTTGTGTTATTTCTGTTATAGCAGCACTAGATAACTAAGACACCTTGTGAGTCTTTCATATCAGAAAACCCATAAGAAAAAGGTGTACTTGTCTTCTAGGCAGGGCTATAGTAATATTTACATGCTGCTCTAAAGATTTCAAAGAACTCTCACATATATTTTCATATCAAGCCTCTGAGATAGACAGGATGACTGTGATTATCTCCATGTTAACTAAAAAATAAGAATAAAAACAAAAATCCAACTCCAATTAACAATGGAATCAAGAAACATGATGATCTAAGTTCCATTATCTCATGTTATAAACTGTGTAGTATAGGAAAAAAAAATTAGTAGTCAGAGAGCCATGAGGTTCTAGTTTGAATCTTCAACACAAAGATCATGAGCCTCAATTTTCTTGGTCATAAAATGACTAAATAACCTGGATGACTTCTAGGTCCCTTTCAAGCTAAAAAAATGCTATGATCTTAGATGCAGTTCATTCGTAGTTGAAAATGTCATGACATGCTCTCTGATTTTCCTCCAAAGGACATTTGCATATCTGCCATTAAAGAGAAGGATATTGAAGCCAAGCTGACTCAGGTGATTGAGAACTGGACCAACCAGAACCTGAGTTTTGCAGCGTTTAAAGGAAAGGGAGAACTCCTACTCAAAGGAACTGAGTCTGGAGAAATTATCACATTGATGGAGGATAGTTTAATGGTCTTAAGTTCCTTACTAAGTAACAGGTAATTTTATAATTTTGGGGGAAGGAGGTGTTAGTCTGTATTTATGGTTTGTATGAATTGAATTATGTTCCCCCAAAAAATGTGTTGGAATCCTAACCCCTATCCCTGTGGTTGTAATCCTCTTTGGGAATGGGGTTTTCTTTGTTATGTTAATGAGGCCATATCAATGTAGGGTGTGTCCTAAACCTAACCACTTCCGAATGATATAAAGAACAGTACAGAAGTAGACATGAGAGCACAAATAAGGACAGATAGACGCCATGCACATGAAGAACTCCAAGGAACTGAGGGATGCTGGAAGAGACAGGGGTCTTCCTCCAGAGCCAACAGAGAGAGAGCCTTCCCCTAGAGCCAGTGCTCTCAATTCGGTCTTCTAGCCTTCTAAACTGTGAGAAAATAAATTTCCCTCTCTCTCTCTTTTTTTAAAAAATATTTTATTGTATTTTTGGTGAAAGTTTACACAGCAAATTAGGTTACCATTTGACAATTTTTATACAAATTGCTCAGTGACATTAGTTACATTTTTCACAATGGGTCAATAAATCTCTCTTTTTTAAAGCCTCCCATTTGTGATATTTCTGTTGCAGTAGCACTAGGAAGCTAAGACATGGCTATAGAATTCTACAACTACAGCATGACAGAGGATTCTGCTCCCTCTTTTCTGTCCTTATATGAACCTCCTGTTTTCCCCAATAATCATAGCCTCCATTTCTTCTTTAATGGGTCTCATCTGTCTCCTCCCTCCTTTTCCCTCCTGGTGGGCCCCATCATAATTATTTCCCACAAAATTGGCAGTTTATCCCCGGAACATCTTGGCTACTCATGGAGGGATCTCTTCATTTCGTCTTCTCTCTCTTTTGTTCCTCTGATTTGTCATCATTGCCCTCTTTGGCTAAACCCATTCAAGCCCAATGACCCAGGAAAGGCATGCTGGCCACACATGAAAGGAATATTCTGCTAGGGGCTTGGCACTTATAAACTTGCATTTTTTGATGATGAAAAGCAGCTGTATCTGTGCTAGGTCCACTGTGGTCTGAATGAGACAATGTGGTCTCAAGTGCAGCTTCAGGAATTTCCAGTGTGACTCAATCAGACTAAGTATTCTGTCAGATCCTTGGACTGGGCAGCAGCAACCTCTATTCCTATAACTAACCATGCAGTAGTTCTCGACTGTTATTCACCCCAGCACACCTAAGAAATATGTCACACTCTCATCATTAACAGAGATCAGTGTCCAGGGCGTGTGGAGATTCTAATATCCTTCCCCCAGGTTGGGAACACTGGTTAATGAATGTCATGCTTGCATGACCTCTGGACCCAAAGGCAGTCTTGTACTTGGATAATATACTAATCCACAAAGATCCTATTCCAGGAAGTTCCGGGTTGATTTACTGACATCGAGATCCTAGGGTGTATCCCCTACTTTCAGGGAATCTGAATGATCCTGGCAATAGTGGCCATTCAGTGGTTCCTAGACTTTATGAGCTACTACTTCCTCATGGTTATTGCAGATTTCCTGGATGACCAAGAAGAAGGACTGTGGATTCACCTGAACAGTGTCTATGGCCAAGGAATTCAGGAATTTGAAGACTTTCTACATTTCACAGTTACTTGGACATAACCGGATTTGTATAATATCTATTTATAGTAGGAGAAATGTGATAGTATTCGTAAGCTTAATGCCAGGGCCTTGATAGAAAGTTAGAGTATAAGAAGCCACCCATTCTGGATGATTCACCTCCTAGAGAACTTTGCAGCACCAACTGGATTTGGAAAGCCTCTTCCAGGGCCAACCGTAGACTGACCTTGTAGCCGGTAGTGCCTGCTGGATCTTCAGGACTACCCTGATGTGACTTCAGAAGGAAATTGTATGTCTCCATGAATGAGACTCGACCCTAGTTATTGCCTAGATTGTGACACTTTCCTGGTGGATCCCTGAGGTTCTTCAACATCACTTGATTCCATGGAGCCTCATGGGCCTTCCTATCAGGCAAGACGTTCCATCGTATGAAGTAGTGCAATGAAGGTACCTAGACAAGGGACAGGAACTGGTTCAGATCTCTTTTTTTTAAATTAGGAAGTTAAACACCATCTAAAATGACTTTTTTATTGTCTTATTTGCTTCAACTCCATGAAATGCTCATCCATTTCATCTTAATCTGCATGTCTTGCTTTTGAAGATGCTTTAGACATGGAGCCATCCAGTTCCAGACCAAAGGCCAGATGGACAGTAAAAATTGGGTGTTGGGAAAAATGCCTCTTATTGCTTGAAAAACTAGATCACCTCCCTCCCTGGGGCAATTTCTGTGCAGCTCCCTTTATACCTCCATGTATAACATACGCTTCTAGGGAAATTATGCATTTCACTCAGGCATCATCCTGTACCCAGAAGAACCCCATTATACACATGGGCACCTTCAAGTCACCCTGTCCTGGATCAAGAAAAGTTATGTTATTCACTATAGCCAAAAGATGGAAACAATCCAAGTATCCATTAATAGATGAATGGATACACAAAATATGGTAGATACATACAATGAGTATTATTCAGCTCTAAAGAGAATTGAAGTTCTGATTCATGCCACCACATGGATGAACCTTGAAAAACATGTTAAGTGAAATAAGCCAGACAAAAAAGGACAAATACTGTATGATCCCACTTATATGAAATATGTTCAATAGGTAAATACAGCAAGACAAAAGAAGATTAGAGGTTATTAGGAGATGAGGAGAGGGGAAATGGGGAGTTAAAAAAGAAAAAGTTGTAAGAAATAACCACCAGGAAATGCCATGACACAAATCAAAACTACTTGCCATTGCCACAAACTGAGATCAGCTGCTTGAGCCAACTGTAGGTAACTGGGTCCCTTACCCAGAAGCTTTCCATTGCTTCCTCCATGACCCACTCTATTGCTCCTCTTTCTTCGTTGTGCCCTGCTTTCTGAATACCTTGCATTCTCATAAATGACTCAGCCAGCCCTGATAATCAGAAAATAGGAACCATACGCTTTTGGGATATCTATCCTGGATCTCTAGCATTATAGAATCTACTTTTGGGTAGAATTAGCAGTCTATGGATGGGAAGAGTGTACCTGTAAGTAGACTTCAGATCTCAAGCTTGACTCTGGACTTGTGGCATCCTTTCTCCAGGGAAACCTGGTTTTACCTTAACCGTAGGGACCTTTAGGGATCTTACCTGTCCTGTGCCTTTACAGATGGTCCATCTACTGGCTTGATGAAGCCTGCAAGACCATCCATAAAAGGAAATTCCCTGGATAATGGACTCTCTTCCTAGATTCAATAGTTCCACAGACCAGTAACAAATAGTGTCCTCCTATGTATTGTTCTCACAAGTAGTCCCCACTTGGATTTTGTTCACAGATGTCTTGGAAAGCCATCCTATTCTTTGTTCTCCCTTTACTCCCAGAGGCAACCAGCACAATTCTGAACTGAACCTCTGAGGCATGAAATTTGGCCCATTTTCCTATTCTATGACTGACACATGGGAACAACAAGTGAATCACTGAAATTACATGAGTTTTATTCATAAAGAAGCAAAAATCTCGTGAGCTATATGAGATTTATTAAGGACTACTCTTTTAGGAAAAAATGTTCATTTCTAAGGGAGTGTTTTTTCTTTAATTTCCTTTGTTAGGAAGGAAATACTGTTTTTTAAATCTTCCTTGAAACATTATTGTTCTCATTCTTATTTTTTAGATACAATGCTCCATTTAAAAAGAATATCCAGAACTGGGTGTACAAATTGTCTACTTCCTCAGATATAATTGAGGAGTGGCTGGTAGTGCAGAATCTTTGGGTTTATCTTGAAGCTGTTTTTGTAGGTGGAGATATTGCCAAACAGCTGCCTCAGGTAAATATAGCTTTTATAACTATTGACAGGATAATTTGGTGTGTGCTGTCTATATGTTTCTGTAAAGACAGATGGTCACAAAGAAAGATGGTCAAGTCTTGATTATTTACTCCAAGAGTTGGCAAACTATGGCTTCAATTGACCCACTTGCCTGATTTTGTAAATAAAGTTTTATTGAAATAGAGGCATGGCCATTTGTTTATGTATTTTCTAAGGCTGTGTCACCATGAGTCAGAATCAACTCGACAGCAACTTATAACAACAATAGGGTACTTTTGCACTATAACAGCAGAGTTGAGTAGTTGTGACAGATACCATATGGCCTGCACAGCCTAAAATATTTACTATCTGGCCCTTTACAGAAAAAAAAAAAAAAGTGTTGACCCCTGGTTTACACTAGCAGAAAGAAGAAACATATTTTCAAAGTGAATAATCTCAAGATTGTTTGAGAATGTGAGGTACGTTAAAATATGGTACCATTAAATTATAGGAGTTCATTGCTTCCATGAGTTAACATTATAATATTCCTCTGAGAGTAGCATTAAAATGAATTTGGATTCTGTAAACACAAATTAACTTCTAGTAAATTTAGTAAT